GATACCATTTCTTCCTTATTTCTAGTACATCCCAGAGCTCAAAGTTTCTTATTCTTCTTCCCTGTCTCCTCCGTGTCAAAGTCTTGAACCCTCCGTCCTTGACACGGGTGATCTGGAAGCCCTGAGGTGACAAAGATTAACAAGAGTGGGTTCCATTTTTAGTATCTCTGCCAGGGATCCTCTTGAAATGACAGGGGAACCTCATTAATATGAACCCTGCTAATTGCAGAATTTCAGTAGCTCAGATGTGGTGCCCATGATTTGTATTCAGGAATGAATTAGAAATGATTCTTTCATCTGTAGATTTTCAAAGATTTATAGCTGTGCCTTGCTTTTCCAAAATACATTTGCTACTGAAAAGATGAGTGTAAATCAAATTTTTGTAAGTTGAATCATTCAAAATGCACTCGGGGAGCGCTCTATTTAAAGGAATCCTACTGTGAATTTTTCTTTCTGTAAATCAATCTATCTCTTTATTTTTTGTGTAAATCTAGATTTTCATAAATTGAGAAAGTTTTAAGCGAGGATCATAGAGTCAGAGCCAGAGGGGACTTTAGAGGCCATTTAGTCCAAACCCCTCATTTTACAAATGAGAAAACTGAGGCACAGAGAGTCCCACAGATAAGGAGCAAAAGCAGCATGTGAACCTAGTTCTTTCAGACTCCAAGGGCAGCCCTCTATTTACCACGTCATGCTGCATTTGGGTCATGATAATAACAGCTTGAAGGGCAGGCAGGTGGTGCAGTGGATAGAGTGCTGGGCCTGGAGTCAGGAAGACTCACTTTCATGAATTCAAATCTGGCCTCAGATACTTACTAGCTGTGTGACTCCGGACAAGTTACTTAATCTTGTTTGCCTTGGTGTCCTCATCTGTAAAATGAGCTGGAGAAGGAAATAGGAAACCACTCCTGTATCTTTGCCAAGATAACCCTAAATGGAGTCATGGAGAGTTGGACGTGACTGAAAAATGACTGAACAACAACAATATTAGTTTGAGAGGTAGTATGGTATAGTGTTTAGAGAACTGGCTTTAAAATCCAAAGACTTAGGGTCAGGTCCTTCCTCCTGTGTTAACATACTGTATCTGGGACCCTGGGGAAATCCATTAACATCTCATGGCCCCACATAGCTTTCTGACACCATAAATTGCAGAGCACATGCTCATCTATAGTGGTAGAAAGAATTTCCTCCATGGAAGTTCCAAATCACGACTTCAAGTCCAAAAGAAAAAGACTCACTTTTTTTTTTTTAATAATACATTACAGTTTATAAACTACTTTGCTCCAAACAATCCTGTGGAGGAAGTAGCATGAATATTATTATCTCCCTGTTACAGGTGTGGAAATTGAGGTGGAGAAAGGTAAAGTAATTTGCCCATGTTTTTAGATTGGAGTGGCAGGCCTTCTGACTCCAAAGTCCAGGGTTCTTTCTATGATACAATGAAGCCTAAAAGTCATTGCCTTTTCAAACCAGAGATTCAAGAAGTTAAGGACTCTGTCCACATGCCTTCAGTCTCTACACTTTGTGAATTTTTAAGTGTTATATAAATATCAGCTACAAATGTTATTCTTCTGGATCTAGAAATATATTCTTCTATGTTAAAATACTTTTACATTTATATTATGTTATTATATAATGTAGGTCTTTTAAAAAAGATTAATACAACTTCTTAATTTCTAAAAAAAAACAAAACCCAAACCTGTGTTTTAGTTATCACATCCACTAAGATGACTAATAAAAAAATAGAATTGATTAAAGAAACTGTATTTCTTTAAAGATCTATGGTAAGTCAAATCTTTTTTTTTTTGACAAGTCATCCTAGCCTTCCCCTCAGTTATTCTGAATTAATAGAATTTCATTGTTTCAGCCAGATTACTACCCTTTATCAGATAAGAGAGATCTTCAAACGCTAATGCTAGAGTCAAAGCAAGAACATCCTTATTGATTATGGCAGTAGCAGACCCTGAAGGGCATCTGGTTGATGGCAGTTTGAGCCTAGATCAGCCAGAAATGCTTTGGGCCTCTATGGGCTCCAAAGTCTTGCTGATATGTTGTTGATAAGGCTTGAGGTCAGGAACTCCAGGTGAAATGGTGATCCAGCTCTTTGTTTGAGAAAAAGCAGTTCTTTAGAGTGAAAACAGGACTTGTGAAGAAAATTAGAAAATATGAACTTTGCCATTTGCTGGCTGTGTAACTAAGATAGAAAAATCACCTTCCCTATCTGAGCCTCAGTTACCCCCTCTAAAAAATAAGGGGGTTGGATTAGCTGATCTCTAAGCTTCCCTCTAGTTCTAAAATTCTGTATTCTATGTTCTACTCTCCCTTCCAGCTCTAATATTCTATGATGCTCTGACTTGAACTTCCTTCTACATTTTCTGAGAACATGAAATTTGTTCCAGAATGGCCTTCTCAATACCTCTGCCATTTCTATTTTTTTCTCCCCTTCTTTGCTTTTTTTTTTTTTTTGCTTCTTTTCTTCCCTGGGGTTTTTGTGTGGAGGGGGTATTTGAGGTTTCCCAGAAGCAATGAGAGGAGGAATTAATTGATTCCCTCTCCTCCCCACTTTGAAACCCTGAATCCACAAGGATATATATATATATATGTATATATATGTGTGTGTGCATATATACATATATATATATATATATAGAGAGAGAGAGAGAGAGAGAGAGCAGCTTACCCTGTGGTATGGTAGGCATCCAAGAGCCTAAGGCATCACACACCTTTGTCATTAAGGCAACAGTTTCTGGTACCAGTGTCAAAGAGGTCCATTCAAGTCTTTGGCCACCCTATACTAAGTCTACTTCAGTCTACTCTGGAGCAATTTTTTTTTTTAGGCAATTGGGGTTAAGTGACTTGCCTAGGGTCACACAGCTAGTAAGTGTCAGGTGTTTGGTCTGAGGCCAGGTTTGAACTCAGGTTCTCCTGACTTCAGGGCTGGCCGGTGCTCCATCCACTGGGCCACCTAGCTGCCCCTGGGGCAATTAATTTTTAAAATCTGCTTTAGGCCCTAGGACTAGTCTCTACTTTCAGCAAATCACTGACTCATTTATTCACCAAATATTTAGGGAGAAAGATAAAAACTCCATTAGCTGGTACCTTAGCCAGTAATGGGAAAGCCTGAGGTATTGTCATTGGCATTAAGCCTGTACCACAGAGCTGAGAGAGGACAGTCCACTGGCTCCCAGATGACATTCATCTGCATCAGAAGAAGCAGTTTTAGCATGGTTTGATTAGGTAGAGCTCAGCTGTACTGGAAACTGTGTGCTCCTTGATATACGGGGATAGGGACTCAACAGACTAGGGTAGACACTAGATACCAAACTAAAGTAACTTCCATCTACAACAGTAGCATCAGAGCCTCTTTTTTCCTTGTGGCTTACAGATCTCCTATGTTTATACACCATATTCCCTATTCTCTTCCTTCCCCTTACTCCCACACATATTTAATGAAGGACATCATTGAATTCGATTCACATTTTTTTTTTTAATGAAAAGAGGCCCTGGACTTGGGGTCAGAGACCTATGTCTAAATTCTAGCTCTGCTGCCATGTGATTGGGCACCATGCTTGGGACAGCTAGGTGGCCCAGTGGATAGAATGCTGGAAGACTCATCTTCCTGAGTTCGAATCTGGCCTCAGGTACTTAGTAGCTATGTGACCCTGGGCAGGTCACTTAACCTTGTTTATTTCAGTTTCCTCATCTGTAAAATAAGTTGGAGAAGGAAATAGGAAACCACTGCAATATCTTTGCCAATAAAACCCCAAAATGTGGTCATATAGAGTTGGACACAACTGAAACTACTGAACTACAACAACATGTGACTGAAGAGAAGTAATTTCTCCCATATGTCAGAGGCAGCTGGTGACACCACGGGTAGAATGTGACCTCAGACACCTACTTGTTGTGTGACCCTGAGCAAGTCACTTAACCTGACTGCTTCAGTTTCCCCATCTATGAAAAGGGAATAATAATAGCACTTACCTCTCAGGATTGTTGTGAGGATAAAATGAGATATTTGTGAATTGCTATATAAATGCTATTATTATAATTATGATAATAATTATTACTATTATTATACATTGATGTGGGCAACATGGTGGAGAGGGAGGCGCATTGGATCTTGAGTCAAAGGAGTTGCATTTGAATCGTGGCCCAGTCAGTTCCTATCTATGGAACCTTAGGCAAGTTATCCACTGCCCTGCCCCCCCACCCTGACTCCTCTGTAAAACAAGGTGACAAGATGCTCTTTTAAGTACCTTCCAGCTTTCCAGTTCCTTGATTCTGTGACATAAGTGCCAACTGTGTGCAAAGCATAGTTCTGAGTACTGGAGGTGGTGGAGGTGGTGGTTAGGAATAATACAATGATGAATAAGAAAGAACTCCCGTACTCAATGAGCATATGGTATGGTAGAGGAAGACAAGGAAAGTGTAAAAATAACTATAATATGAAATAACTCATGATTAGTACATAAAAGTATTACAAGCAAGGTGATATGTGTGAGATCTAAGGACAGAAAGTTCATTTCTGATTAGGGGGACAAGGAAGGGAGAAGATGGCATCTGAGTTGGGTCTTGAAGGATGTCAGCAGGCATTGGCCAGGACTGGAATGGGGACGATTGTCTACAAAGGAAGGGACCACATTGTAATCATTTTTATATCTGCCTCAACACCTACCACAGTGCTCTGCACATATTAGGCATTTAATGTTTGTTGAATTGAATTCTAGGTGATAGAAACAGTATGTGCACAGGCACAAAAGTTGAAAGTTTATAGTTTTTCCATTAGATAAAAAGGATATCTTTATGAAAGAGGGCTAAAATCAGAGTCAGTCACTGAAATGCATGGAAAGGCTTAAGTTGGTCAGATACAGCTAGAGCCCTGGAGGAATTCTAGGGAGGCAGGGGATGCCATGCCACTGAACAGGCAGTCAGGTAGGCAAGGACAGAGATGAGTTTTGGTTTCTTGACAGTGTTTTGTTTTGCTTCCTCCTTTCCAGGTCTCCTGGGAATGGTCGCCCATATGATGTACACTCAAGTTTTCCAAGTCACCGTCAGCCTGGGACCTGAAGACTGGAGACCACACTCCTGGGACTACGGCTGGTCTTTCTGGTATGTGTCCTTTTCAGCTTGTGACAGCAGCTCCCTCAGGCAAATGTCAGAGAGAGTTGTTTTTCTTCTCTCTAAGGAGAATCACAGTGGAAAGAGTAATGGACTTGGCATCAGAAGACATGGGCTTAACTCCTGTCTCTGCTATTTATTAATCAAATGACTTTGGGCAAAGTCACTTCATCTCTTGGATCCTCAAATTTTTTACCTCTCAGCTATTGTTAATGCCATAGCTCTTTGACATCTGGTCAGAAAGCTTTGACATTATCCGTATGGAGTAGTTAGGCATGGTCACAGACTCACAAAGCCAGAAAAAGAGCATGTAATTGCTGTTGACAATGACCTCCTCCCCACCTTTTCATCTCCCACTGATGCTAAAGGCCCTGACTGTGGTTCCTCAGTGAGGGAGTCAGTGGATTGAGATTTCCCTACCAACAAAGACAGCATGGGTAAAGTGCTTTGCAAATCTTAAAAGGCCATATACATGCTAGTTATTATTGTTATTAGCAAAGGTTCATGTGTTGCCCTGGGTGGGAAACAGGGAGTGCTGGGAGGGAATGTGATGGAACCAATGAGTAACCGCATCACGGGTGAGTGCAAAATCCTGTAGGCTTACAGAGGCCTTGCTCATTAGTATGATCTCAGCTCCATCTGAAGGTAGTCCATGTGCCATTAATTTATATGCCTCAAGAAGGACCACATCCTCCAGCCCCAAAATAAATCTCAGTGAGTCAATTCATTGCCTCAGAAAGTCCAGCTGAGTTTGAATACTGCATAGTGGAAGCACCCTGGGCTTGGAATTGCAAGACCCAGTCCCAGCTGTCAGGACCCACCCAAGGGAAGGCAAGTGTGTGCCAGTAATTAGTGACCATTACCACCAAGGTTGGGGGAAAAGAAATCCTTACCTGAGGCAGGAGAAGAGAAGTTCCAGTTGGGAGGAGATCTGTGGGGCTAAGAGGAGAAGGTGAGCTGGTGGCCTGTTAGGGAGTTTAAGTCTAAAGAATCTGTCCGAGATTTGGAAGCTGAAATGCAGATAGCACCAAGCAGCTGACTGAAGTTTCTTCCTTGAGCTTGGACCTTTTTGTTTTGCTTGCATGCATCACCTTTAGCTAGCTCTGCCACTTAGGTCTTCTGCCTTCTCCTGAATTAGCCATTCCAACCAAGCCAATGGACTGTATGCCAGTTTCCCCATTAACTAGTTGTGTGATTTGGGGTAATTCACTTAGCCTCTCTGGACCTCAGTTTCTTATCTGTAAAATGAGAACAATTGGACTTGATTATGAAAGTTCCTTCCAAAACGTCTAGCTTTCTAAACTGTAGTTTAGGAAAAAGAGCATTGGCTCTGGAGTCAGATGTGTGCAAAGTCCCTTGCTGATGGTTACAAACTGTGTGATCTTGGACAAGTCACTTAAACTCCTTGGGCCTCAGTTTTCTCGTCTTTAAAATGAAAGGGTTGGATTAGACCATACAGCGCTTCTTGAACTGTGGGTCACGACTCTATATGGGGTCATGAAAAATTTGGTAACAGTAAAAGTATTTGAATGCACAATGACCAAAAATTGATTAAAAATCAAACTCGTAATGAATCTGGGGTGTTTCTGGCAGGGCTTGCCCGTGTTTCATTGTGCAGCTTCACTGCAGCGTTGGTTCTTAACACAAAGCATGTGCACTTTACACTGTGCATGCCCTCAGGCCACACAGCGCCAAGAAAAGCTGCCAAAATGGGAAAAGGGGTAGCGAGTGGAAAATGTTTAAGAAGCCCTAATGTCTCTAATGAGACATTAGATAATGTCTCAATTCCCATGCACCTCTACACCTGTGATCTGTGATTTTTTTCACTGGAGTCTTCTCCCTTCCCCACTCAGGGGTAAAGGATGTGAGTCCTGGGATACCCAAAGCCCTTCAACTATGTTGAAGAACCATTCTGCTACATTTGGGAATGGGCAGGAGATGGGAGTCCCACTCAAAAATCCCCAACGCCTTAAGCCCCTTCATTGATATTCTTGAGGAACGCTTTTTGGTCTCTGGGGCAAAGAATGTTCCCCCAGAGAGGGTAGAGATGAAAGGATTCCTGCCCATTCCTCCTGCCTCTCCTGCTGTGGGTCACCAACTTCTCTTTTGACTTATTCATAGTACAGATTTGAGTGAGTGGCGATGTGTTAGTGCTGATATATTTCTCCTGTCACTGAGGCCCAGAGAAGATAGATTTGGACCATTTTTCATCCCTCCAGAAAGCTCACATTTGGGGGTTCTTCCAGAGCTCTGCTATGTCATCTCTCTTGTTTAATATGTGTGGGGCCATTTGTCAAGATTCAGTGCTTTAGCTATCCAAGGTCCCTTGAGAAGGGATTGGCTGAAAGTAAGACTAAGAAAACTGTAAACATTTGGCTAAGGGATTGAAAGAAAACACTTCCGGGAGGTAGAAGGTACTATGGAATGAAGGCTGGGCCTTGAAAGACCTCAGTTTTGGTTTTGACCCAACCACTAACCAGCTTGACTTTGTGACATTAAATAAATCACTTCACTCCCTTGAGGCTCAGGTTTCTCATTTCAAGCTCACATTTCTGTAACCCTTCTAGCTCTGCAAAGTTTCACAACTACCCTGTGAGGTAGATAATGCCAATATTATTACTATCTCCATTTTTTGGGTCAGCAAACTGACGCTCAGCATGGTTATGATATGTTCCAAAGCCACATAGCAAGTATGTAGCAGAATCTGGATTTGAACCCAGGTTTTCTGACTCTTAATGAGGCCAGGGCTCTTTCTATCATAGTGGTCTGGCTCTGGAAAATGAAGTTGGTAAGCGTGGGCAATGGATTAGATGATCCCTAAGGGTCCTTCTAATGGTAACATTCTAAAAAGCTGCAATTCTAATGAAAACGTTGATTTTCAGATTTCAAGAAGGAAGTGAAACATTCTCTAAGAGTGCAGGGCTAATGAGGATGCAAACATAGGCTCAGACTGCAACCTTGTTGACTGCCAACTTGCTTGTGAATGCATGTGTTTGGTCACAAGGATGGTATGGATGGCTCATTGCAAGCCTATCCCCGATAGAAAAATTCAGCTCAGTGCAGGATCCCTCCTGACCATGACCATGTGTAAGTTCAGCTTGGTGTATGAGGGGCACCAAATCAGCCTCTTCTAGTAAGAAAAACATTCAGATTCTTAAAGTCTGGTTTCAACCCCCTCTTCTCATTTCACTATGTGTCTGCCTATCTTCTTGTCCTAAGTAAGACTTAGATTTGTGCTTATGAGCTGCTTCCAGCACCAGCTCCCCTCTGGCCCTCACTGTGCTGACCTGGGGAGGCACTGGTTAAATCCCTTCCTTGTCCTGTGACTTCTAATGGGTTCATTCCTCGGACTAGGTGTTCTAGGTGTTCTGTTGCACGTTCCATCTGTCCCCGGTCCTTGGCTACTTCCCAGTGACTGCTGATTTCCTCCAGTTCGCCCCAGGTTGGCTCCTTTTGTGCTGGGGACTCAGCCCCATTTGCTATATGATTATAGTTTTTAGAGCTAGAGGGGGCATTGGAAATAACCGAATGTAGTCTTACAGATAAGGAAATTGAGGCTTGGACAGGTAAAATGATTTGTCTTAGGTCACATCACTAGAAACCAAGATTCAAACCTAGGTCTTCTAATTCCATCCGTATACATTTTATTTAGCTCCTACTATGTGCCAGGTACTGTGCTAAGTACCAGGAATACAAAAAGAGGCCTAAGATAGTGCCTGCCCTCAAGGAACTTACAATCTAATCAGCTGACTAGCACTAGCCTCATCCTTACAAGAATTTATTTTTTATTGAGGTCACACCATACTGAACACCTCTCTCCACCCCAGCAGATATATGTGATGATGGTGAATAGAGTGGTATATAATAATACTGAGAGCCATCGTAGTCTAATGGCAAGAATATTGGATTAGAAGTCAGAGGACCTGGGTTTAAGACCTAACTCTAAGAATGATTGGCAGCATGATGGTTAAATTATTTAGCCTTTCTGATTCTGTAAAATGGAGATAATATTACTTATTATGCCTATTTCATAGAATTGTTGTAAGGAAAATGTTTTCATAAACTGAAAACCTCTCCAATAAATGTCAGCTATAATTTGTGCTATGCCATTTTACATTTTAAAAGTGCTTGGCACAGTAGATAGTGGCTCCCTCTCCATTGCCTACACTCTTTTCAGATTCCAACTGTGCTAAACCGTATCTCTCCCTACCTCTATTCTCTCTGTGCCCTCCAGTTACCAGGAGAAACAGCAGATTAGTTACCTCCCTTGGGGCTAAGAGCTGCCCCAGCACCATGCTTCCCCACATGGCTTAGCATCCAAATGTTTACCCCATTAGCTCACTTACAGAATTGAATCGAGAGAAGCTTTTCCAGGCAATCCATTAATGTGTTCTCCTATAAAAATCCAAGGCCTATTAAAGCAGTTTGAAATAGATCAGTTTGTAGTTATTGTCCTAGAACAGGACTATGGAAATAGAGGGATGCATTTTATCTAATTCATCTCCCTTGAGGCAGGCCGGTGTTGTCATCCTTTTGCATAAAAACAAAACCACGGCAGAGATAGTGACTCACTGCAGGCTAATCTGGCCCTCCCAGCTGGAGAAAGAGCTCCCTGTTGCTTGACCCTGAACATCTACACAGTTTCTGATCTCTAACATCCCTTTGGCATGATACTGTATTCAGGCTATCTAGCTTTGGTGAATAGGACTCAACTATGCTGCAGGAGAGATTGTGAGTTCAAGAAGGAAAGCACACCTTGACATGTTGAGTCTTCATTGGTTCCAAACTCACTGAACCTGGGAAGTGGGGGCTGGGGGGAAAGTAGAAGGCCTAGGGCCAACTTCTACAGCCATTTGGTCATGATTTTTTTTGTCAATCTCAAATGTAAATATATCCTGTCTTTGAGTTCCTGGGGGAACAGAGAAATCAAGTCCTGCTAATCTAGATTTGTCTGTGGGTATTCAGTCTTGGGCATCTAGGTGGCACAGTGGATAGAGTGCTAGGCCTGGAGTTAGAAATATTCATCAAGAGTTCAAATCTGGCCTCAGATACTTACTAGCTGTGTGACCCTAGGCAAGTCACTTAACCCTGTTTGCCTCAGTATCCTCATGTCTAAAATGAGCTGGAGAAGAAAATGGCAAACCACTCTAGTATCTTTACCAAGAAACCCCCAAATGGGATCACAAAGAGTAGGACATGACTGAAAACGACTGAACTGATTCAATCTTGAAACTTTTCAGAGTTAATTTCTAATCCAGTTGCCATGCCCCCCTCCCTCCTTCCTTCCTGTCTGCTTCCCACCCCCTATGGCTCACCAGGATGGAATACAGGGACGACAACCAGCTCAAATCATCATACACTCCCCCCTCCACCCCTGCCATTAGCAACCTGTATTTTCAACACTATCCCTCTCTCCCCTAATAGTCCCCAACTCCAAGGATACTACTGCCTTTTCCCTCAACTATCGTTCCTGAGGAATAGAGGCAGAAGGAGCCTCAAAGCCACGCTTTTAGTTAAGAAGTTAGTCTAGTGGATGCCATCATCTCATCAGTGGATGCCGTCCCTGGCCATCAGGTCAGCTCAGGCCAGTATCTTTTCTTCTACCCACAGACAGACAAAGACTAGCAGGTTCTCTACTCAGGGCTCCATGCTCTACAGGGAATTCATAAACAAAATAGATTCATACAACAGGACAACAGGAAATGGGATCCTGCCTCCTATGGGAGGGGAGGTACTTGGATAACATCTATCTCTCTTGGGCTTAGAACAGAACAGTAGGGAATAGCTGGTGCTCCGTTCTTGACTAAGTAGTTATTCTTTTTCTGCCACACATACACCCCTTTACATTTTCCTAGTCTTTCTATGGTTGGCTGAATACAATTGTGTAGTGGGCATAACTTTTGGCAAATGTACATGGGTCAGTTGATTTCCCATCAAATTTCTAAGTCCTAGAACTTAAAAGATTTTTTTGTTGTGGTTGTCAGCTGTGATTCATGTGCTAACACCAAAAGTACAGTACAATGTAGATTAGACCTGGCTCTACGCCTCAGTTTCTTCATCTGTACAACAAAAGTTGGACTAGGTGACTTCTGACGGCCCTTCAACTTCTACCAATAATATATGAACCTATGAATTTCTGGGAAAGAAAGGTGAGATGCGGATAAAGAGAAATAGGTAACAAAGCCCAGGAGTGACTCTGTCCAGCCATCATCCAGATGAGTTCCCCTTTCCTCCAGCCCTAGGTGTTTTAATCCTCTTTTATTGTGGTCTCTCCTTATTTTATTTTATTTTTCTCTGTCTTTCTTTCTGCAGCCTGGCCTGGGGTTCTTTCACATGCTGCATGGCAGCCTCAGTCACCACACTGAACTCTTACACCAAGACTGTCATCGAGTTTCGGCATAAACGTAAAGTGTTTGAGCAGGGATTCCGGGAGGAGCCAACCTTCATTGACCCAGAGGCCATCAAGTACTTCCGGGAAAGGTCAGTGAGGGTCAGATGTATTGTGTCAATGCCTGGTCAGGGGAAGAAGGTCACAGATTTCACTGTTGGTTCTGAGAATTCCAGGAAATCTACCCGCCCAGAGATTTTGGATACTCTCAGAAAAATAGGCCAGAACAGTCAGGCTGACTTATATTTCTTGACACTATTAGGTTAATATTTTTGTCTGGTCATCTCTCTGTTAGAACCAATTGGAGAACAAAGCCCCCTCCTTTGGTAGAAGGGTGGTTGTTGTTGTTTGTCATTCATTCTCAAAGAGGACCATGATATCAGGGAAGTGATGCCATGACATGCAAGTGGATTGGATTTGAGTTGGGGAGGACCATGCAAAGTCATCAGCCTCACTTTGTCCTCCAGAGCCATCTGGGTCCAGTGGAAAGATCAGGATGACTGGAGATGGCCCTGGATGCAGACGCTGGCCTCTTTAAGCTGAAGTCTTTAAAAGGCCTCAGTTTGACTGAGGCAATGCCCAATCTGTGATTAAGGTTAGATAAGAAATGAAGCAAATAATACCTCCTTGCCTAGTCTAAAAAAAAAAAATCAATCTGGAAGGGAAAGACCCTCAGGGTTTCAGGCCAAAATAGAAACAATTGCTATTTACATTCACTCTGGGCCAATCAAGGCACAAACAATGACCAAGTGGGGCTTGGCCTGGGACCTATTGTTGGCCAATCAATGAGAGTCAGGAGTGATTTGGGTTTAAGGCCTGGTCCTTAAGAAATAAGTCTAGCTACTGAACCCCAAGATACTTTGTGAGGTTTCAGTAATCAAAATTTACATCCCTTTGGGCCAAGCACCTGCAGGAAGGGATTGAGTTGATGAATCTAAGATGGAAATGGTAATCAAAAGAATACTGGATTTGGAATCTTGTGGCTTGTGGGATTCGAGTCCTGGCCCTGACGCTAATACCATGATGTTGGCCATGTTATTTGTTCTCGCTGATCCTCAGTCTCTTCATCTATGAAATGGGGACAACAACTTCATAAGGTTGTTGTGAGGAAATTGTTTTGTAAACCATAAAATGCTATGTAAACATGAGTCAATGTTATTATGATTATTATTTGTTGATCACAATCAGACCAGAACCTTTGGAACAAATCATTTGTCATTATGGTCATTTGATTATGGTATGTCCACTTGAAACAATTCTTACTTTTTAGACAAAAATTCAGATAACATAGCCCTTGAATGCATGAAAAAGCCTAGAATAAAGGGAGATGGGAGATGCTTTTAAATGTAATGATTAATCTGTACTCATGTCTTTCCCATGAAGGGCCACTGGTCTGTTGCACCCACAGGGTAGCCAGCAGCCAGCACGAGGAAGATGGCCCCAGTGTCCCCTCTTCACTCTCTTGTTGTCAGAGCCAACAGGGTGGTATGGCTGCAATAAAGCTAATTCAAACCTGTCTTGCACTCATCAAGTGCACAGAGTGAGGGAGATTATAGCCCTGCTCTTCTCTACCCCTTCAGGCAACATCTGGAGGAGTGTCAGGTCCCCATTTGAGCACCACATTTTAAGAGGGACAAGCCGAAGCATGCCCAGAGGAAAGTGGCCACGGTAGTGAAACTGTGCCATACAAGGAACAATTAAGCAAAGAATCTATAGTCAGGAGAGGAGGAGATACAGGGAGACTTCTAAGTTTCTTTGTGTACTCAGAGGGCTGCGCTGTGGAAGACAAAATAGATTTGTTTTGTAGCTTCAGAGGGCAGAAGCAGAACCAATAGTTGGAAGCTGTAGAGGGTCCATTTTCAGCTCAGTATAAAAACTTCTGTCCAACAGTAGACTGAACTCGTTTAATGGGTAGAGAGTCCTCTTAAATTGGAGATGTCTGAGCAAAAGCTGAATAACCATCGTTAGGGATGCCATGGGGGGACTGCTGCATGGAGTGAGAAATCCTGCTAAGGGATCTCTAAAATCTCTTCCAACTCTAAGATGTTATGATTGTTCATTGGTGTCCACTAGAATGAAATCCCTCCATCTTCACCCCTTCCCCCAAACCTTGCCATGGGGGCCTGCTTGTGGGTGACTTCAGATGGCAACATACAAGATACAAGATGACTCCCCTGCTTCTTCAGCCAACTCCCTTTACATTTTCTAGCTTCTAGATGGAGGTGGGGGTGGGTCTTAACCTTTTTGTGTGTCTCTGGACCCCTTTGGCAGTCTGGTGAATCCTATAGGCTCCTTTTCGGAATTATGCTTTTACAAGTATAAAATAAAATACATAGGATTACAAAGGAAATCGATTCCATTGAGACAAGGATGTAATTTTTTCCCCCATCTAAGTTTATGGACTTTCTGAAATCTCTCCATGTACCCCAGGTTAAGAATCCTGTTCCAGCAGAGCAGATTAGCCACTGCATTTTTCAGATACTTTCATCTTGTCCTGCTCATTTTTTGGAATGAGATTCTATAACAGCCTTGAGAACTAAGGGAGGGACCATTTAGTAAACAGACCTGCAATTTAGCAGGGCTGGGGCCCATCCGGGACTCTTCAGAGCAGCCTCTGCAATTAAAAACAAAACAAAAAACAAAAAAACTAAGCTTCTGCAAAGTATCTTGTGTTGGGACAAAGTGTCAATACTGCAGTGCTCTCTGCGTTTTCCTCTTATTGCTGGTACATGCAGGTCCTGGAGACTCATGACCACAGGGAGATCAAGAGAGCTGCAAGGGACCTTGGAGCCCCTCTGCTTCCACCTCATTTTACAAGCAGGGAAACTGAAGGCCAAAGAACCGAAACGATTTGCTTACAGTCATACGGGTAATGAGTGGCAAAACCAGGATTTGAACCCAGATTCTCTTCCTCTCCGTGACGTTCTGCTATCTCATGATGGACGACGTCTCCCCCTGCTCAGACTGGTCCTGACCTGCAGGGTGGTCCTCACTAGGAATGGGCAGGACCCAGAATACAAATGGAAGCATAAAGATATGCAGAGAGTTTGAAGGTCTCCAAGCATCAGGGAATCAGAGCAGGACCAGGCAGGAGGGTGGCTGTGGGTCAGGTCCTGAGGTGGCAGCAGGCGGAGAGTGCAGTAGAGGGGTGTATGTACAGTAAACTGAGGGGCAGGCATCCAGGCACCCAGGCAGGAAGCAGCAGACAGTTTGCATAGCAAGCCATAGGAACCCAAGCCTTGAGCCTGGGCACCGTCGCTGGGCATGGAGCTAAGCTGTGGAAGGGGGAAAGAGCAGCCCAAGGAAGGAAGCTTTTCCTCATGGGAATTGCTGTATTAGGCAGGAGTGGATGAGACAAGGACTCAATTATCAGAACTATTGTACAAGGACTGGGCTGGTCCCAGAGCCATGAAGAAAGGGCCCTTTGTCCAGAAGCAAAACCAAGCTCAAAGCAAGGACCGGCTGTAACAACAGAAAGAGGACCTATTTCTCTGGCCCTTTAAAGGTGACAAAACACTTTCCTTACAACAGTCCTGTGGGGTAGGTAGAACAAGTATTATTACTCCTGCCTTATAGAGGCAAAAATTGAAGTCTAGAGAGGAGTGCCTTGCTCAGAAGAAATCCGTATCTGAGCTGGAATTTGAATCCAGATCTCTCCTGACTCCAGTGGACTTTTCACTCTACCATTCTGTGTCTCATTAAGTTGGATTTCATCTTGGATAGAGCCCTAGACTTGGAATTTCAGACACCCCTCAGTTGTCTTCTCACTAACATGGATAGTTCTGTGTTTAAAAGAATCATAGTTTGTGGGATATTCTAGCTTTCTAGCTGTCCTGGCTTTGGGGGCAGCTGTGAAATGCACATCTAATCCCAGGGATAGACCCTGGACATGTCACTTAACCTCTCTGAGACTCCTCTTTAAAATGAAGTGGTCTCTAAGGACCTGTCCAGCTCTAAGCTTTATGAACCTCTGTTCCTCTGACTCCTTATATTCCCCCTGCCCAAGGCTAGGCCCGATTACAGAGCCCAGGGAGAGACTGAGCCTAGACTGCAGGAGAGAGCTAAGTGGTGCAGGTCTTAAAGGTTGAGGAATGTAAAGGCAAGTCACTGGGTGGATCATTATACCATGACTCTCTGTTCTTGGGTCTCTGCTCTGAAGAGGCAGGCATCAGCAGTCTTAGAGCAAGCTGGAGGAAGGTGGGGAGGATGTAGGCAGGATGAGAATATAGGCCATTTGGGATAACTAACTATTCATTGAGCCCAGTGGCTCTAACTCTTGCCTGCCTCCCAACTGGGTGACCGATTGCAGTTATCCCTTCACTAACATGACTAGCTCTATGTTTAAAGGGATCCTAGTCTTTGGAATATTCCAGCTGCCTGATTTTCCAGCTGTCTGGTTCTCAGGGCAGCTGTGAAACACACAGTCAATCCCAGGGATTCCCTGGAGGATTTATTTAGATTCCAAAAACTATCCAGGAATGTCCACTGAGCCCACCCCAAAGCCAGAGATAAACTCTGCCAGAGAGCAGTGAGGAGAAGATTGTGGAACTTCAGAGCCCGAGGGGACCTTAGAGATAATCTAGTCCAATCCTCCCTTATTTTACACAGGAGGAAGCTGAGATCAGAAAAGAAAAGTCAGGTCTCTTGCCCAAGGTTGTCAAGCTAGTCACTGACAGAGGAGCAGAATCTGAAGCTGGTGCTAATGTTCATTGCCAAGCATTACAATCTGGTTTAGTTCTGTGCTGACTCTCCATTTGCAGCCATAAAATCCCTATGATACTCCTTCTGCTCTCTCACGGCAAGAAACCGCTCCTATTTGTAAGAAACGTTTAATGATTCAAAGTGATTTCATACATATTGCTTGCAATTCAGTAGCTGTGTGACCCCAAGCAAATCACTTCACCTCTCGGTTGAAATATGATGTTGAGTTACTTCTCTGTGAAATATGGAAACTAGACCAGATGATGTCTAAAGGCTTTTCTAGTTCTGTCTGTGAATATATGAGTCTAATTTCACTTTCACAACAACCCCAGGAGAAAGGGAGGGCAAGTCTTATTATTTCCATTTGATGGATAAGAATCCAGAGTCACAC